CCCCCTTCCCCGGGCTCGGCGCGCGCGGGGAGTGGTTTCCCCAGCGCGCTGAGTCCAGCTTCGGCACCCACCCGAGCGCCCAGGTTTCTCTGCTTCCCAAGGAGTAGAAACCGGGTTTTCCTTGCTTCTCCAGGGAGCTGCTAGACCCGATCGCCGCGGCGAGGTCCCTGAGACCAAATCTTACAGGATGCTTAATGAGATTGAAGAGAGACTCTGCCTTGAAGTGTCCTAGCGGGCGACATTTTTTTTTTTTAACAGATTTTAGGGCTCAGTTTTGGAAAAATCTAAAGTGCTTCAAAGCAGTGACTATTAAAAGAGCATCTAGGCCTCCTATTTTGTCAGGAAGTATTCAACTTAGAGAACGCAGGTTAGTTGTCAGTTTACGGGGGTTATTTTATGACAGCGTTCCATAGCTGCGGTTTAATGCTAATGCACAGTGGTTTTTCATATCAAATAGACGTTCCGTTTAACGCAAGTAACGCTACATGACCATAGATGAGGAAACAGGCTAATCTGCTTTTGGCTCACTGTAATAGTTTATCCCATTTTACCAGTAGCTTCAAAACTGAACGCTATTTGAAAATAAATATAACGATGAAGGCTCTCCCACAGAAAGAATGAGTGAAGAGCTTCGAAAGAATGGAGATCTGTTCCTAGATCCCTCAATTATGCAGAGATACTGCTTGGAAGCCTCCAGATTCAGGGCCTCTGTCTGATACTTTAACATTGTTAATGATAATTCTTTAGTCTGTAATAGTAGGTCATTGCTATGGTTACTCTACAATGGTGCAACACTTTGCTTTCCCCTTCAGCTATTCGCTGAGACCTGGTAACCACATTTGTTGCCTAGCAACAGTTTTGTGACAGTATCACAATCTGGGAGTTACAACAATAAGGATGCTATGGCTGCTGTCGGCCAGAGAGCAGAAAGCTACAGTCTGCGTGTGTGACTCAGCTGTGGCAGCTGGCCCCACTAGGAACCCCCTGTCTTTATAGCTGTCCTCACAAGGATCTCCCTAGCCTTCTCTCCTCTGCGGATTGCCTCACAGACCTCCACGTGGAACTAAGATCCATTTTTGAAATCCTGTCCCTGAGAAATATCCTCCAATGCTACTTTATTCAGACTAAAAAGGGAGGTCATTTCTATGTTTGCTTACTCATTTTAGGCAAAGTTTAATGTTATTCATTGGAAGGGAGGGATGAGTATAGGCTTATCCCAGTAAATCCTGAATTGTCTGTTTTTTGTTTTGTTTTTAAAGAGATATTTTTGTTATAGGGTGTATACACTTGCTGGGGGGACAGAGAAAAAAGACAGAAAGAGAGAAAGTGAGAAATCACCCCCCAGGAGGGATGGTCACACAGCAATCCCTTTTCCTCTATTCTTCTCCTGGGGTTTTGGGTATGCAGGTACAGGTACCTGGGATGAGTTTCAAGCCACTGAGTCTGGGACTCGAACCGCAGTCGGCAATGTGGGAGTCCAGTGCCTTAACGACTGTGCCACTCCCTGACCTCCAACTGGATTTTGATAATTCTTCAAGGAGTTCCTGGGGAAAAATTTTTATATATGCCTACCTACATCAATAGGTGTGTAAACTTTAAAGTTTTAAAAACACACACACAATATCCAGATTGTATTATTATTATAAGCAATGATTTATTCAAGTGGTAATCTTAAAAGATTCTTTAGAATCGGTAGGTATTTACCGTTAATTTATTGGGCTGACTCTGTAGTGCACTAATTAAGCATTGTGCGTTAGGAGTTGGATCCCACATGGCCAACTATAGTCTGAATCCTGGCCCCTGTGTCTTAAAAATATACTGGATATGTGTATATGTATTCCCCAAATCCTGACAGGATGGAGAAGTGGAGGAAGGAAGATTGTGGTATGACCACACCCCATTGGGCCTTGAGGGTGCTATCTCATGCACACATACTCTCTCAATAAATAAATACATAAATAAATGAAATTTTATTTATTTTTTCCATGAGTGTGAGAGATAGAGCACCTCCAATAGGATCTAGATACAGAATTCACTATCCACTCAGTGCTCCAGCAGGCCCTGGACCATGGGCACACATGCTCAATACACTCAGGGAGGTCTCCAGAGGCGAAACTAGAACCTTCCCATGTGGGTCAGCCCTGCAGAGTGTTCCATTTTACCAATGCACCATTGTCCAGCCCCCTAAATTTGGAGGCATTTATATTCTCTTAACTGTAAGTAAGCAGTTCTAGATATATTTGGACATGTTTCTTTTATATATATATAATTATTTTGCTATAGGAATCATGCACTTGCAGGAGAGAGAGAGAGAGAGAGAGAGAGAGAGATCATCCCCCAGGGAGATGGCCATGCAGCAATCCCTTTTACTCCCTTCTCTTGGGATTTTGGACACATGTACACATGCACCAGGTGTGTCTTTCAACCTGGTGGGTCCAGGACTCAACCGTGCAGCTGGCCATATGGGATCTAGTTGTCTTTAACCACCACGCCTCGGACTGGCCCAGTATACCTACTTTAAATAATATTTTGGGGACCAGCAGATGGCATCATGGTTACATCACTGGAATCCCACATAGTTGACTGTGGTTTGAGTCCTGGACCTGGTGGCTTAAAGCTCATGCCAGGCATGTGTGCCCAAAAATCCCGAGAAGAAAATGGAGGAGTAGGGACTGCAGTGTGGCCATCTCCCCTGGTGGGAGGTGGTTTCTCTCTTTCTGTCTTTCTGTCGCTCTCTCTCCCTTTCTGTCTCTCTCTCTCTCTAGAGTACACATACCCTATAGCAAAAGTCTCCCTCTTAAAGAAAAAAAAAATGTGGTGGAGTCAGCAGGCATGGTAGTTAAGGTGCTGGACTCTCATATGGCTGACCATGGTTTGAGTCCTGGACCTGGCTTTTTACTTTTTCACTCTCTGGTGAGCACATGTGCCCTGCAGCAAATTAAAAAATAATTATAATAAAAATTAAATAATTCTCAAAAAAATATTTTGTGAGTATATCTGGAACAGGTGCTCTTTCTGGATAGGTTTATGAAATGTCTTTATTTATTTAAGAGGTTTTTGCCATAGGGCGTGTGCGCTCACCAGACAGAGAGAGAGAGAGAGACACAGAAAGCGAGAAATCACCCCCCAGGGGGGATGGCCATGCCACAGTCCCTTCTCCTCCATTAACCTCTTGGGATCCTGGGCACACACACACACATGTGCCCAACATGAGTTTTAAGCCACTGTGAGTTTTAAGCCATCGGGTCTGGGACTCGAACCGTGGTCAACTACATGGGAGTCCAGCAACATAGCCATTACGCTAACTGCTGGTCCCAAAATGTCTTTATTTTTATAGTGCTTACAAACCTACTTTCAGTTCAGTAATAACTACTAAATTGCACTTATAATGATGGAATATTTTACAATCTATTGTGTTTCTTTCTTTTGAAAGGCCATTCTTTTTTTTTAAAATTATTTTAACTTTATTTATTATTATTATCATTATTATTTTCCAGTTTGATCAGAGAGAGACAGAGAGAGAGAGAGGAAGTGAGAAAGCAAGCCACCAGGTCTGAGACTTGAACCGTGGTCAGCCATGCGGGAGTCCAGCGCCTTTAACCACCATGCCACTTTCCGGCCCCTTGAAAGGTCATTCTTAGATTCATAATTCATGGCAACACCCACCCCTAAACACAATAAGCCAGAAGAAAAAAAGAAAAGGTGTTGATTGCTTCTTTTCCCTCCCATTTCCCAAGCTTCCAGCTACTTTTGGCATTTCCTCCATGGTGATCACACTTACACCTCCTGGTGTTACCGAGGCTATGATCAATTTGTAAGCTTTCTCTGGGAGCTCCTCTCATAATTCCTCCCACCCCCTAAAAGCCAATTCGATCTATGAATCTAGAGGGACTGAACGAGTCAATGGTCTGAAGCAATTTTAACTCCTTTATTTCTTCTGTCCTGGCGACAATCTTTCTGAAGGATGAACACATTTCCTGGTGATAAAATCACCACAGAAGCTGTTGAGTTTTGGCTCGTGATGACTCTGCTTGATTAGTCCTGAGGAGCAAAGAACAAGTCCCTGAGATAACTGAGTAACGGCGCTGGCTCACAACATTTACCCTGCGATTCAACAGTATAACTAATGAGAACGTGCGCTCTGTCAGAGGACGGGAATGGCCAGGAGTGCAGGCCATAGGCAAGGTAGGTTAGTAACTGAGTTAGAGAGCATGCGGTGGGAGAGGGAGGATTTTCCTTAGAGTGAGGAATGGTAACATGGATATTTTACACAAAAAATGTCCTTTTCTAAATTTTTGGAAGTTTATTTATTTTTTAAAGAATTATTTATTTCATTTTATTTATTCATTCATTTTCATTTGACCAGAGAGAGACACAGAGAGAGATGGAGAGAGTGAGAGAAAGTGGGAAGGTGAGAAAGCAAACCACCAGGTCCAGGACTTGAACCGTGGTTGGCTATGTGGGAGTGTCCAGCATCTTAACCACTGTGCCACCTGCCGGTCCCCATTGGAAGTTTATTTTTAAGAATTATTTTTATTTAACTTTATTTATTTATTTAAGTTTGACCAGAGAGGAACAGAGTGAAAGAGAGGGAGAGACAGAGAGAGAGAAAGAGAAAGTGAGAAAGCAAGCTGCCAGGTCTGTGACTCAAACTGCCATCGGTCATGTGGGAGTCCAGC